CCCTGTGGCCTCGAGGGCTGGTCTCTTGCAACTTTTAGATGTGTTTGTTCTTCAGCACACCTGAGTCATATAATAAGGTCATTGACAGAACTCTGGAGAACTTGAGTGCATTTAGGAGGTGATTCAGCTATTTAATTTGATTCAGCTGTGATGACACCGGTCCTCAAGGACCAGGATTGCCCACCGCTGTACTAACAACTCAGTTGCAAAGCAGCAGAGATGATGTTTCGCATTAACATATCCTGTATGAGTTCATCAGTTATTAACAATCACTGCTAATCCACCTCATTTGCTTTTGCTGCTCCTCTTTTAATCTGTGTCTGCTGCATGGTTAGAAGGCTAGGCACTGAGATGTTGGAGTCTTCTTTCATTCTCTGCTTTTTAGTTCTGCTAGAGTCCATGAAGTCTCCTTTTTAACTCCTCTTGGATTTGGAGTCATAGTTCAGATAATATCTGAGCTTTTGAGATGCATATTAGCTGCTCCCAGTTGTCACCAAGGATACAGATCATAGCAACTGTCTAAAAGTAAAAAAAAAAAATAATAGTAAATACCTTTACAGCTACAATGCTGCAAGGCTGAAAATGTAGACACTAATTAAAAAACAGCAGAATAGAGGAAGATTATTGCTTTATTCCTAGAAAATTTTGCATATAAGGTAGAATTAATTTATTTATTTCAGGTTGGTATCTATTGATCTCTTTTTTATCTTCTTTGATGGATGTTGGGGTGTAACAATAACTTGAGTCCCCACACCTCTGCTGTCCTAACATAACCTTCATCTCATACCTTTGAGGCGATGTCCCCTGCTTCTGCACAGCATCCATCGTCCAAGCAGGAAGGCTGACCTTTCACCGGTTCCTGACAGGTAACTCCCCAGACTCCAGTTGGCTTCCTCGGGCGAACATGAACCCGACCACCCTACACCTTTCTGTCCCACACCATGAAAACCGATTTAGACAGATGAATATTACGCAGTAGCTCAGGAAAGGAAACTGGCATTAAACTGAAACAAAAGGAGAATCACAAACAAGACCTGCTACATCAAGTATGGCTAGGTCTGTTATGCTACAACCCCAACGACCTCAGAGATTGGTAATGAGTCACAGAGCCATTTCCCTTGTAACTGAAGGGTTTCCCTCCTTGACCTGCTTAGGCCTACAACACGTTTATGGTGTCCAAAGTTCCCACATATTTCAAGCCTATGATGTATGGATGGATGATTTGATTGACTAGAACAACAGCTACATCTACGGACAAATGGCTTGATGGATGGACATGTGCTTTCATGGATGGATGAATGAACGGAAGGATGGATGGATACATGGATGGATGGATGGATGGACGGACGGACGGATGGATGGACGGGTAGATGGATGGATGGAGGGATGGATGGACGGGTAGATGGATGCCTCTATGGATTAATGAACAGTTGGATGGATGGATGATCTAACGGATGGATGAATGTTTCAATGGATTGATGGGTGAGTAAAATATTCACATAATTGGTTGTTTGACAGATCTGTCTTTGTGAGGCCAAAAGGTTATAATAAATAACAAAGCTGCTATAGTTTTTTGAAAGCAGCGATTCAAAAGCCAGGGCCAAATACAAACTTGATTTGAATTACTTGAATTCTAAATATGTCATAATTAACCAAATCAGTCAGAACATTTTCAAATGTTCAACAGGAAAAAAATCCGGCTGATTTAGGAACTTTAAAGTCACCGAGCTATTTTCAGAAAACTCATCATGTGCATCCATGCTCCTGTTGCCTTGAGGCATGCTGGGAGTCTGAATGTTTTTTGAGCCACAAGGTCAGCCAGACAGTTCCTGGTTTTAATACTGTGAACACGACAACAGGGTGTTGAGATTGTGAAATTATTCAGGACCAGACAAAACCGAGAGCTGGTAACTTTTCAAAGTGTGAAATAGAAGGCTTCTCTGTCAGCAGACTCCCCAAAGCCCACCGACGCAGACCCTCTTCACATTCTGACCATTCAGGTGGAGATTCCTGCTGGAGAAAACAGCGAAGGGCCTGTGAGAAGATGCAACAGAAATAACCTGGAGAGAGAAAGACTGCTGGGAAGGCAGGGGCTTTTCTGTCAGGGCTTTCACAGCCTGTACACATCCAAATTTACATTCCAGAAATGCTGGCCCTTCTTCAATAGAAATACGTATCTTTCACAAAGTTGCAGAAGACATCAATTTCCTTCTTCTCTATTTAATAATTCTTATGCATCTTATCAAAATCGTACAGCTTTAAACTTGTTCCTTAATGTTCTAAATGCTCTATTTTTTATTTTTTTTGTCAAGTATAGGTCACTCTTTAAATTATTGATTATCTCAAGCAGGACTCTTTCTGCTATACATCGTAGTCATTATTGTTTCACAGGGCTTGAGTTTCCATCGGAAGGATCATTAAAATCCTGAGCACTGCAGGTTGTCTTCTCAAACTGACGCTACAAAATTAACTCTGTGTCTTTTCCAAACTTAAACTCCAATTTAGTATAAAAAAACAGGCAGAAATTATTCTTTTAAATCTTAGTGAAGATTACCATTCCCCTTGTTTTCTTATCTCTGATGTGGGTACCAAATTTCTGACTTAGTCAATTATACAAAAGAGGAAGGGTACATTTAAGTATATGTGAATTAGTTTTAGTCTCTTAAAGCAGTAGACAACATAAAAGCGATTTTACTTGGTAAAAAATGGAATAATTGATTATGAAATGACACTATTTAAATAAATTGAATTGAAAAAATAGGAAGAGTGGCTACTTGGTCCATGTTGTATTTGTTTGGTCATGTGACAGTGATCGTGATCTAGCTCAGGATTGTGAGACATTTAAATGGAGAGAAGCAATGTGATCAGTGAGGCTGTTGTCTTGGTCTTTGGGTTAAGTATTACAAGACAGCAATATTAATACTGAACATTAATATCAGCACAAATCTTTATATCAGAAGATTCCTCCCTGAAATAACCAGAGACCATGATATTAAATTATAGTAAATGTGGACGGGGATATGTCAAATTTAAAGAAAATTACATTTTACCTGCCTTTGACAGGTTATGGTGAAGGTGTACACTGAAAAAAATAAGTCATTGGATGAACATAAAAAAATTATGGAAAGGATTTCCACCTGATTACTTTGCTTTATTTCAGCACCATGTACTTGTGTTACTCCTATTTAAAGCAAATGTGTTAGGTCAACCTAATTTATTAAGATTATTCCAATGTAAAGCAAATGTGTTGGCTCAACTTGTTACAATGGTGATTCAATGGGTGATTCTAAATCAAACATGTTGGCTCAACGTAATATATTGTGGTTATTCTTATATAAATAAAATGAGTTGGCAAAACATAATTTATTAAGGTTGTTCTAATTTAAACCAAATATGTTGGCTTAACCAGAATTATGGTAATGCAATGGATGATTGTAAATCAAATGAGTTGGCTCAACTCCATTCATTAAGGTTATTCAAATTCAAATGAAATGTGTTGGCTCAACATATGTTTTAAAGGTTCCTTTAACTCAGTTACTATAGTGTGACCCAGTGTAATGCAATACAGCCCGCCCAACTAATCTGCAATGTTTAGGACCAAATCATTGATGTAACTTCATTAAGATGAATGTAAATCTAGTTGAAACCACCTTATTTTACAGTGGTACCTTCACACTACCTGATTCAGTAGGTACAACTCACTAAAAGCAAGTTAGCTCAACAAATATGCTTCATGCTAAAAGACAGCTAGTTAATCGTGTGGAAATCCTTTCCATTATTTCATGATGTTAATTCAAAGACATATTTTCAAGCGTTAATCAAGCATTTTAAGATAGCACTAGGTGAAAGTGTAGGAAGAACACTCAACAATTAGAAAAGGTACAACACAATTGTATTTTCAGAATTGTTATACATCGTTTTTTTACACAGCACAAAACACAGCTGAGTTGGACATTGAAATAAAAAAACAACTACAAAAAGGTTACAGTTTCATTTCCCAGCCAATTCTTTACAACATAAAACATGTCAGTATAGTTGCTCAACTTAGAGAACTGTAACAATATAAATCTTTTCTACTGCAGACTTTAAACACTCATTTTCCATATGAAACTTAACTTAGCAGCGAGTTTCATATTGAGAACTTGTGCTTTCTTTGATAAGTTCTTTCCATCCAATTTCATTATTATTTTCTGTATTACTTCAAAGGTATGCTTGAGTTACTGAGCAAGTTGAGTGCTGAACGCACTAAACTTGAGGGTAGCTCAAGTTTAGTGCGTAGATTAGTCCCAGCAGCATCACTGTGATGGTCCGACCAGCAAACTCAAGGACAAAGGCATAAAAAAATAACTATTTAATTTTTCAAAGAGTTAAAGATTTTTTTACAACAAATTTCAAAAAGAAATATAAGAAAAATGGGCCCAAAAATAATCAACTAAAGCATACCAACTCAACAAACAAAACTAACTGACTCTTCTCAATGAACACACAGGGGAATTTATATACAAAGGCTAGCCTACACACACACACACACACAAGGAGGGGTGGGGAACAAACAAAAACAACCAATACATAAACATAAATAAATTCAAATCACAACATTTTACTTTAACACAACTATAAAACAAAACAACCTAACACCATAAATATTATAACAATAGAGTGAGAGGAAGATGTCAATAGGGCAAGAGGAGGAGTCTTCCACATCAAATTCCCTGTTTCCCGCAGCCTGATGGTTGGTTCCAATTACTGGTTTGAGACAATCAACTCCTCCCAGCCAGTCCTTCAACTCAACCAAAAACAAAATAATTAATATTCTAAATAAACCAAGCGTTTACTAAAATGTGTGCACCCAATCTAGTAAACAACTTAATACCAAAACCCACCAAAGAAAAAGTGATATAACCAATATAAATATTATCAATATAAAACATTAACTAAATACTAACACTAAAGAAAAGAACACTTAACATTGAGAAGATGGAGGAACCTCCACAATCACTATTGCAGAAGATACACTGCCCAAGCTGTTCATAACTTCCACCTCCTCCAGGACAATCCCAACATCCAGATGTGCATCGGCAGCCTCTGCACCCTCTGCTCAAATGACGATTCCGAGGACAGCCTCGGCTTTGGCCATTTCTGCACATTCATCAACGTCCTAAGGGAGTTAGGGAAGGGTATTGGGGGGGAGACAATTCACATGTAATTAAATAAATAAATTAGACTGACATTGATTGAGTCACTCATGGACCTTAGTTGGTGAAAGTATTTTAACAACTCTTAGGAGTTCTATTGTAAACACAAAGAGAATTTAACATACCATGTACTCCCTCACCAGCTTCTCTGGATCTTCATTTAGGTACACACAGACCTTTGAGGATGCACTCTCGTCTGACCTCAGCAGTGTCTTCCTAAATATGCAGATCAAAAAACAATGAGAACAATCTCAAAACTCCAGCAGTATAGGTTCACACACTTGAAAACATAGCTACATTCAAAGGAAGTCACAACAAAAGTGATCAGTGGCTTGCAGTCTATTTGAAAGATATTTAAAATTGTTAGTATCCCTTCATTATGCCATGACTAAAATTGAGTTTAACATCTCATTTAAACATCTAACTGAAGCTGTTAGATGTTTAAATAAAGACATGAATATATCACCAAAGAAATATGTGAAAAGTACAGAATGGTCAACACAGTCTATATCCTTCTACTGAAATGAATATGCAAAGCATTCCATGTCTTACAAGTACATGGACAGTCTATGTGTGGGCATGGATAACGTCGCATATGCCGGTGTTTAAGTGTAAAATGTTTTAACAGGTCATATCTACGAGACAGAGAGAGACTACACTTCTTACATTTCCACATCCCCACGCAAATAAAGACAAATAAAACAGACTGGCCAAATAAATGTTTAGCTGAACCCTAGCTTTATAAGCTCTCTAAACACTACATTCAGTCACTTTAGATCTGGCAAAACTTACTATTAGCCACTGAAATCTATAACTTGATAGCCGATGAGCCCCTTGACCAGTACTTACGCAGGTGGATTACAGACAAGTGATGTTCTGAAAGAGATCAGATATATTTTCAGCCATTAAAATATGCAATTCATACTGAACTGAGTTGTATCTTTTAGTACAAGACCCTTGAATGCCTCATGAATATAACCACTGGACACTTGTATGCAAGCACATATGTGCAGAACAGTGGTGAATTGAACATGGTAGAAAGCAATAGTAACATAGGTCAAAATGAGCACATACAATCAACACAAAAAACATCAACATTTCAAAATTAAACCAATTAACTTCAATATTGTTTCTGAGCTACAATTATTTGGGGACAACAAAGAAGAGTCCAAAAAACCCCAACATCTTTACAGCAGAGGAATATGTATTTTAAAGAAAATAAATAGAAAGCTCAAGTCTGTAATAATGGATAATCCATTGAGAGTTTTAGCCTGACAAAATATACTAGAAATCCATAACTAACAGGTATTTTAGGAACATTTAACAAAGCTCAGAAAGCAATGCTTTCTGCAGGTTTCAACGACTGAAATGTAGGACTTTTTATTACCATAATTAATTAAGAATCTCGATGATGATAGAAAGGTACCAAAGTGTGTGTGTGTATCTACATTTACCTCCATAGTAACATTACTGAAATAGAATTAAAATAGTTAGAAATAGACTGATGTTAGATCCGTGTGTTAAAAATCCACTAAACCTCCAGGGAGCTCAGGAGGAGCAAAACTGTGACATTTCCGGGGTCCATTTGTGTCTCTGGCAGCAGCTTTGTACACTACATATGGCTCTGCAGACTTTTTTCGCACAGAATGTACCTAACATGGTGCAGCGATAAATGTAAACTTACCAATGATATCACATATAGCTATCTGCCTTAACCTAACCGACTTAATCTACAGAACATGAAATAATGTGACACAAGTATGGAACAAGTAGAAAATGGTGCAAATGGTAGAGAAATTTTAAGTTACATATTTTATATGGATTTAGATGAAAATAGTTTGACTCTTACCTTCTTCAAATTAAGTAGATGCACGCCAGGAATCTCCCCTCTGCCCTTGAAAAAACCCAACAAGGTGCGAGCCAGTTATCTCGCGTGATTTTCCGTAATCTCTTGATGTCGCTGGATCCTCTTCAGCGAGAGATGAGTCTGACACAATAGCGCTTTGGAACGGACGTCACTGTGTTTTTTTTTAATTAGATTAACTTTGACAAATATTGATATTGAATAAAATAAAAAAAAAACATATATATATATATATATATATATATATATATATATATATATATATATTATATATATTATATATTATATATATATATATATATATAATATATAAAATTCCTTCTCACCCACCGCGGGTGGTTCTTATCCTCTGAGCTCGGGTCCTCTACCAGGCCTGGGAGCTTGAGGGTTCTGCGCAGTATCTTGGCTGTGCCAAGGACTGCACATTTCTGGACTGAGATATCTGATGTTGTTCCTGGAATCTGTTGTAGCCACTGCTCAGTTTGGGGGTTACTGCCCCGAGGGCCCCGATGACCACAGGCACCACTGTGGTCTTCACCTTCCAGGCCCTCTCCAGTTCTTCCCTGAGGCCCTGGTATTTCTCTAGTTTCTCGTGCTCCTTTTTCCTGATGTTGCAATCACTTGGTATTGCTACATCTACCACAACGGCTTTCCTCTGATGTTTATCCACTACGACAATGTCTGGTTGGTTCGCCATTACCATTTTGTCTGTCTGGATCTGGAAGTCCCCAGGATCTTAGCTCTGGCGTTCTCCACCACCTTTGGGGGTGTTTCCCACTTTGATCTTGGGGTTTCCAGTCCATATTCTGCACAGATGTTTCTGTACACTATGCCTGCCACTTGATTATGTCGCTCCATGTACGCTTTCCCTGCCAGTATCTTGCACCCTGCTGTGATGTGCTGGACTGTCTCAGGGGCCTCCTTGCACAACCTACACCTTGGGTCTTGTCTGGTGTGGTAGATCTGGGCCTCTATTGCTCTGGTGTTTAGGGCCTGTTCCTGGGCTGCCAGGATGAGGGCCTCTGTGCTGTCCTTGAGTCCAGCTTTTTCCAGCCATTGGTAGGATTTACTGATATCAGCCACTTGGGTTATTTGCTGGTGGTACATCCCATGTAGGGGTTTGTCCTCCCATGATGGTATCTCTGGCACCTCAACCTCCGTTCCCTGTTGTCTGAGACATTCACTGAGCACATTGTCTGTTGAGGCTTTGTCCCTGATGTATTTATGGATCTTAGTTGTTTCGTCCTGGACAGTGGTTCTCACACTCACTAGTCCTCTGCCTCCGTCCTTGCGGCTCGTGTACAGTCTCAGCGTGCTGGATTTGGGATGGAACCCTCCATGCATTGTTAGTAGCTTTCTGGTCTTAATATCTGTGGCTTTTATCTCCTTTGGCCAGCTAATTATTCCAGCAGGGTATCTGATTTCCCAGGCCTCTGGTAGACGCCTGGGAGCTTGAGGAATTAGATGTATTCAAGTTGAGATAACGTCATTCAATCACGTTAGTCCAGTTGAGAGAAAAAACCGATTGTCTCGCGTGTTCTCGCGTGATATCCCGTGATCTCACTCGTTGTCGTCAGCACAATATCAGTCTAACTATAATGAATCATGTTAGCTCAACATGATTCAATTTTATAAATGTGAAGTCGTGGAATATCTTGTTTATCCAACATGATTTTATCACGTTTTCGCTTCAAACCCAACATTATTGTGTGAAAGGTACATGATATTTTTTTGTTAATGTAATACGCCCCGACGTTCTTTTTTTTTTGGCGGAAGATCTAGCTGACGTAATTGAATCACGTTATCTCACCTTGAATACATTTATATTCCATTTGCGAGAAAAAAAACCGATTGTCTCGCGTATTCTCGCGTGATATCGCGTGATCTCACTGGTGGTCTTCAGCATAGGATCGGTCTGACTATAATGAATCATGTTCGCTCAACATGATTCATTTTATAAACGTTGAAGTTGTGGAATATCTTGTTTATGCAACATGATTGTATCATGTTTTTGGCTCAAACATGCAATTATTTAGTTAACAGTAATGATATTCTTTTGTATATGATAACCCTGAGGTTCCTTTTTACAGTGTATTTGTTACCCCTCATGCTTTAGACTCCTTCACCAGGGCAGACGGAGTTATAGCTGCTCTGCAGTAGGAACATGGAAGCTAATGTCCATTACCAAATAATTGCCATGTTTTCTCAGCTCCAAGACCAGACTTCTTTATTAGCTTGTTGCATCTTTGAGGCACTCAAAGCCTGACGTGCACCACTTTTTTTCCTTTACAAAGCCTATTTCTATGAATAGTGATGAGCATTGTTGCTATGTTTGCTCATGGCAGTCTCTCTTGGCAGACTTTTATTCTATCATGCTGAAGTGAAGTGCACACATGTGCGCTATTAGCAGGTTTAATGAATGCCCACTCCTGTCATTTACGTAGCAACATGGGAAAGTGGTGAGCTGATATTCAAATATTTAAAAGATCGCTGTTTGCAGAAGTTGAATGAATCCAGTGAGAATGCAAGTGGTGGTAAAAGTTGGTGTAGTTAATGTTTAGTATTACTACAGAGGAACATAAACTGAGGAATTGACCTATATCTGGATGCTGTTGGTGTTGTGTCGTCTGTAGAAATGGACGGAATATTTAGAAAGGTCAAGTTATTTACGTCTGTTTTTATGTAGGCGTTGCAGCAATATTAACAGTAAAATTGGGATTTTAATTCAATAACAAATCTACACAAGCTCTAGCTGAGACAGAGTCTAGATTCCTCTGTATGACATATTACTGGGCAAAGCAGGCGTATCATCAACTTTCTAAACAAACTAAATTTTTCTGTTGTCCTTTTTCTTGATCATAGCAATCCTCAACTTCCATCATTATTTTAGAAGATTTTCTGGTAAAATTATTTTCTAATTTAGGTCATATGACAACGTCAGACTTCTTTACATTTTTTATATGACACTGACATATTTTCATTTACAGACTTTGGCTTAAAGTCTTAGAAAAGTAAAGTTATTTACGTCTGTTTTTATGTAAGTTTTGCAGTATATTTCCAGCAATATTAACACTTTTTTGGGAAAGTGAGTCCCAAAAAAATAATTACTTATTTTCACAGTCTAAGTTCACATCAGCTTCATTTAGTTTCTCTAACTGAACTCAATTTTTTTTGTCTTCATAGTCTGATTTGTTCGTGGAAGTGTGAATCCATAATCAATCAAACCCTTATGCAGGCCAAAAAAGCAAGCTCTGGTCTGCCTACAAACCCAGATCGTGGCTCAGTTGAAGTGAACTCTGGTATGGTTCGAATGTGAATACCAAGCAGACTGGAGACCCCTCCAAAAGCAGAAAGCAGGCTGTTGTGCAGGGCATTGTGGGTAAATAAAACCAAAACAAACATGTTATTAAAGCACTAGATGGAGAGACAATTTGTGGGTTTTTTTCCAGTGACAAAAAATAAATTCTACAGCCACTAAAATTTGACAACACTGCATTTTCTTTACAATTTATGAATAAGGAAGCTGCCCTCATGTCTTTTTAGAGTTTTTGTGTGGTTTCTGTCAGTAGTTCTTAATGCAGCGCCACCACAGGCAAGATGGGTGAACAGGTTTTTCAAATGGCTTGGTTCGATACAGTGTAAAAGTGAACTGCACCAGCTGAAAATGGAACAAATGCTGCAATTGATCTGAGTTTTCTGGACTGTCATTTGTAAAAACACTCTGAAATATTTCAAATTACAAACACTATAAAAATAACAGGGCTTCTATTAAAGACATTCCAATACGATAAATACACAGACCAAGTGCTTGGTCGGTGCATGTTTGTCTCCAGGTGCAAACAGATCATCAGACAAGACTGACATGATGATCAGGTTTGCCTACAATATTTGGACAACAGTCTGAACTGTCTTCATAAAAAGAAAAAAAAATAGCTAAAATGCAATGAAATGTTCAATTTGAGATGTTCATAACATGCTTACATGTTTGCACTTCTAATTGAGACTACTTCATTTATTTTGAAATGTTTTTAAGTTTAAATTTCAGCAAATTAGATCACTTTAAACACATTTTCACTAAGTTCCCTGTCTTGTCAATTCTGCTTCAAATAAAGAACTTTATGCTTACTACACTGTCAATAAATCATTTGTAAGACAAATTACTTTGACAGGTTCACTTAAAAAAAATAAAAATCAGTGAACTTGTAAAACTGTGACATGCAAACATTTTTATGTACCTAACTCTTGTGTTGGTGTACCAAAGAAAAAAGTAAGGTACGCAGTGAAACCAGATCAAAAAATGAGAAGGAGTTGAAAGCAGGGAGGACAGATTGAACAAGATGCACAACTAACAACTAAAGGTAGTTTTCCTTTGAGTTCCTATACACATTCTCTCCACTCATGTGTTTCCTTAGCTAGGTGACCAGCAAAGAGTTTAAGCTCTTAAACTACAGAGATGTTCATATTAAAGCAATAAACAGAGCATCATTATCAAATGGAAGTAGTGTTGCTACTGTTGTATAATTCATTTAGTTTGTAGTGATAGTCTCGCTGAAAGGCTGCTAGGCTTTCTTATTTTAACAATTTATTACAGACGTTGGAATCACATTCGCCCTAAACACCTGCAGTGTTTCTTCCATCACAAGTGAGCCTAATCCCATTGCACCAAATACAAACAGAAACCGCAGGCAAAAAGTGAGAACCACAGAAAGTCAACTTTTGAAGAGGATCATCAATGTCCATGGACAGGTTGTGATTTTTCAGCAATGATAGATGGAGCTCATAAATCACTGAATCTAAAGTAGAGATAGCGGCGTATCTCAAACTGCACCCTGTGTTTCACTGCATGCCCTGTAGGATTTCCTCTAAACATTTGTAGTCTTTGACTACAAATAAACAATGGCTTAGTTTGGACCAAAGCCTTTAGTTTCAGGCTGTATCTGAGCTGTCGAGCATAAACTCCATATTGTAAATAGTCAGAGGGTGATGCCCTTCAGGGAGCCTCGACTTCCGAGATTTAAGGTTTAACATACAAAACACTGACAAAAAATACGACTAAAGTCAAAAAAGTCAGATTTGAGAAATGTCATTAGAGATTTCT